GATCTCAGTTTCTTTACTTTTATATGTTTGTAAATTGTACATTTTTTGCTTTAAAAATGATTGAATTATTTGTTTTTATCCTCCAGTCAAGGTTTTTATGCCTTTAGTAAATCTGTGTGCAATAATTTTAGAATTATCAACAATTTTAAAGTTTTTTTAAGTGCCGCTAAGCCTTTATTTTTACGGCGGCCATTGATTGTTTACATTTGAAACAGCAGACTAGTGGATTTGTTGCCAATCTAGAGAAACTTAGCTTCGCAACAACAAAGATAATGCCTTCATTTATTATGCCCATTAAATATGCTAATCTTTCTGGAATTTTTCGAGGAAATAAGTGTTTAAGATTACTTCGTAAGTTTTAATATAGATATTTTGAGTTTTTATGTATTTTTGTCTTCTCGCGAAGTGAGAACTGAATTAATTGAATGAGAAATACTCAATCGTCTGTGAAAAACTGTTCTTTTTTCTTTTGTTTGCTTAATTTTTTTTATACATCAGTTTAGCTTTATTATAATATTTGAATAGGACATGTGGCGACGATTTATCTAATCGTCGCCACATGTCCTATATGTTCTTTAAATGATATGAATTTTGTGCATTATGAGTTATAATATGAACGAAATATAATACTGTTAATTGAATGTAGCGCCAGAGTGTCGCTATGGTAAACAAATAGAGTGAATTTTAAAGAATGCATTTATTCTATTGTGGTTTATGCGCTGTCGGCGAAGTAGATTTAATTCAATCCAATAAGTTTAAATGAAATGCAAGAAAAAATGCATATAATTTAATATTCCGTACAAGGAAGTCATGTGATGTACACATCAGATTTTTTAAAACGTAAAACTAATAAAATATTGTTTCTTTTAAAATTTTTTGACATTATAAATATCGTATTTCTACTACAGACAGAAAGTGGTTAGTGATTCAGACTGCTGTACCTAAGGGCCCGGGTCGAGTCCCGCAGAAGGTAAAATGCCCATCACTTCACATGCGACAACAGTGGCCCACCTGTTAGGTGTCTATGCAATAAAGAGACCACCACTTTATTCCTTAGTAGAGGCCATCGCCTATAAACGGCTAGAAATCGCTATCGGGGGAGGGGACTCATATTTTTGAAAATTCTGATAAATAAAATGGTTTTTATTCTCGAGATTTTTTTAGGACCGTAATAATCTTTTAAGTAGCCTTTTAAATATTTTTATTAAATTTATCGAAAAATTTCTCAAATTATTATCTGTATATTTTTTATGAACTTTTTACATATATCAGAAGTTTTCAGAGGAAAAGTTGTATTTTTATCTTGAGTAAATGAACGACTGAAAAATAAATTATTTAAAATAGAAATCAGAATTTTAATAAAGACAAAAAGTATCTTTGGTTATAGAAACCATTTAATTGAAGTTGTGTTGAAGTAGCTTGGAATGACCACGTTATAGTTGCATTTGGTATAGATTCAGCAATGCAAGTCAAATTTGCAGAATTTCCATTCCATGCTTCTACAGATGTACAAGGAGCCGAACTCATTCATAACTGGCGAAAATTCGATTGTCAGATGGCTAATTCGTTCAACATGTACCCCTTTGTTTTCAGCTGCACAATAATATAAACCATCATTAGATCGAACAGTTCTTTGAATTTCTGAAGTTAACACAGTTTCATCTGCAGTATCACTTTTGGTCAGAATCCACTCTGTCATGCTCATTATCAAATGACTTATCTTGCCCTTCTTTTCTGATAGTTAGTTCAGGCAGTGGATCTCCAACAGCATTCCAATAGCATTCCAATTTAGCTTCTTTATTCTCGGCTAAAGTCCAAGGATTTTTCAATGTTTCATCTTACCATTGCAACTTCATAAACGATTTCCTGTTTTCAGAGTGTATCTCACACGTCACTTCTTGAACAGTGTTATCTCACATGTCATCCATGGTCTCAATTTTATATTTTCAGGCAATGCTTGGTATGCGATGCTACGTATCAACATATCACTCATTTTTTAGACACGGCTCAAGTTATCGGTACCTCGTCATGATAGCCAGCATTAATTTTCATAGTAACCACTCTTAACGTTGCAGTTTCAGCTTCCCCAATTGCAGAAATAATTTTAATTTTTCCCTCTCCGTCGTCCGGAAACAAGTCACTCCGAATCAGATATTTGAGCACCGGTGTCGACTACTACTTGAAAGGTTATCTTTCCACACTTTATTTCTACCCTGTTTAATTTATCAAATTCGATAACATTCGTTTCGGCCAAAGGTGACATTGTAACAGTAATACGGGCAGAAAGTAACTCAACATCATTTTCTTTAATCGTTGTTGTTGTTTTTATTAATCCACCTGGTGACTTTTCTACCTTAGATTTGGTATATTGTTTCGTATGGGACGGACAGCCTCTCGCAAAGTGCGTTTCTTCACCACAGACAAAGCATTTAGGCTTTGAAATGAATTTCGGTTTTGTATTATATGGAATTTCCTTTCAAATTTGTGATTTTTGTGAATTATATGTATTGTCATTCGATACGAAGGGTGTGGACTCCGCTGTTTAAAATTTGAAGGATCAACTGTTTTCGACTGATTCCACAGACTTCCTGTTCTGAAGGTTCACTAGCACAGTTTCCATGTCGGACATTCTTTTTTAATTTACTACAAGAAGCATATCTCCTACCATTCTCTCTCATATTCATATAACCGATCGGTTAAATCAAATGGAACTACGATTTTAGCCCAATTGTCTATAAAATGACGTTTTACTTCATTCGATACTCTATCTTTTTATTTGATTCGATATCATAAGATTCTTTAATTTTTCAAAGGTCGTAACTTTTAAATCTGTATTCCATTCTTCGAAATAACTCTCTATTTCAAATGAAAAATCCTTCCACGTTTTATCATGCGATTTCTGATGCGGAAAACATTTTTCAAGACTTAAGTTGGCTCATATACCTTAAATCCCTTATGATCTTCGAATATGTGACTGTTGCAAGAATTGGGATATTGTATTTCTTTTAAAAGCAATTACTTCCACCTTTTTAAAGCTGACTATATAATATAGCTGCTTTGGAAGCTAATAACCAGAAAGTTTGTGTTGCCACAAATATTTTTTATAATTTAATTCGCTCTGTGAGAGATGTTTCGTCATTTCATCTGCGTGCATGATATTTTAAAAATGGCTAATGGTAGATATGATGGAATTCTTATACGGTCACTGCTTTCTAACTGAACAAAAAAAATGATGAATATTTTAATATTAAGATTTTATGCCGAAAACATTACAGAATTTTTAAATAAAATACAATTTATAAACTCAATTCCAAATAAAATAAAAATTTAATATGAAATTCTTAGAATTTTTGGTTCACGATAGTTTCTAAATGTTACAAAAGCTACACATTAAATATGGAATTAAATTACGGAACAGAATGTTTTAAACTGTGCGCGCAAGGTGGAAACATGACGAAAAATGTTTGTCACAAAGCGAATTAAATTATAAAAATATTTGTGGCAACACGAAGTTTCTGATTACTATTTCAGACAGCAGCTATATTTTGTAGTCAGCTGTAAAAAGTTGGAAGTAATTCCAATTCTTGCAACAGTCCCATATTCGAAGATCTTATAGGTTTTAAGGTGTATGAGTCTCCTTAACTTAAGACTTTTAAGAAGATCTTTTTACATACTTGTAATCCTCAGCTTTATCAACAGGTTCACGTGCTATTTCATAAGGCAATAAGCTCAAGAGATGTGAAACCCAGTCTGTTTCTTTTACGTGAGCTCTACTAGCCTGCCGTTCAAATAAGGCTAAATAAAGGCTTATGTCTCCTTCTTTTGGATCGAATTTTTGCATTAACTTCCGAAGTTCATAACGCCATCTCATGTTCTCATCAAACTGTTCGAAATTGACCGTTGCCTCTGCACTCTTACTAGCTGTTTCAATCCGTAATTTCTCAAGTTCGAAATCCATTTTCCTTTCGTTCTTAATGGTGTTTAATAATTCCATTACAAAATTCTCTTCATTCTAATTGCTACCTATAATTATCCAAGGTATGCGTAAATTTATATATTGGTGCCTTTTGAAATTTGGCATATTTGTTATAAGCGAAAATAACGCCATATGTCCTTCACTTTGGTTTTTTAGCCCAAAGGGCGTTAGCCCAGAAGGGCTATCAATTTCATTTTGGTATTTTGCGACGGAAACTTTAAATATGCGTTTCACTTTTCAAATTGTTGCCACCAAGTATTATTGTTCCATGTTATATTTAAAGAAATTAAATAATGAGGAATCTGCATAAATGTATGCACGTTTCTTGCATTGTCATAAAACAACGGCAACTAGAGCCATCGAATTTTGAATAACGTAATACTCCACCGAATATGGGCATCTGAAAGCCCTAATTTGGAATTGGTTTTATTATCGATTTCATATTTTGTAACACTTTAACGAATTTCCATTTGACAAATTCAACAATTTCAAAGTTAGCAATGGCAACACTGTACGTTGGGGGGGGGGAGGGGATTATCTCCAGCGCGCGAGACTGTGCGCGTGTATTCTAAAGATATGCTCATTTAAAATTATTTTGCGATATTGCTTATGCCTGTTAACCTCTGTTAAACTTCAGGCGTCCCCATCCTCCGTCACCTGTCACCTGTTGAACTAAATTTTATGGTTTGAGTGCGAAGAACGTGATATTTAATAAATAAAGGTAACACACAAAACGTTAAAAAAAACGCCCTTTGAGACGTAATGTAAAATCTGAAAGCTTTCAGATTTTTTTTTCTTGTGTGTGTGCAAGGTGTACGTCAGTGCAAATGTTTCGTAATCTGGAAAAAACGAAAGGACTGAGCTAAAGATTTTTCTAATTAAAAAAATTAAAGTTTAAAAATGTAAAAATCACTTTTTCATTATTACGTTTTGAATGAAGTACGAAATAAACCAAAAAAAATATTTTATTGGTCTACACACATATTATTATCTGCTTTCTATTTAATTACCAGTATTCATTCAAAATGATTAAAAAAAACAGATATTGGTATGAAAACGTGACAGTAAACTATAATGGTTTATGCAATTCCTTCTTTTAAAGCATAGTTACAAAGGACGAAAATTTCTTTTCTTTTCCGAAGAACAATTAAAAATGGAAAAAAAAAATTATCTCTTAACTATATAAATATCTTCAGACTTTAACAGACTCGGCTATGCTTTTTTCAGTTTTCTTCCCACTTTTGTTTGGATTTAGAATGAAATTGGTTATTATTTAACAAAATAAAAGTGTTTTAAACTGTCACGTATTATTATCAATAAGTGAGCATTTCTGGATTGTAAAAGAAATTTATTCACATGAGTTTTATTACCCTTTCTACATAACAAATTTCTACAATTTTTCGTTTTTCTTTCTTTTATCTGACAAGCAGGTCATGAATCACAAGAATTCTAGTCTACAAATCAAGAGGTTTATAGTTCTGTATGGCTTGTTCCAGACGTCTTAACCCTGTAAAAATTTAAAAACATTGAAAATATTAACAATACGTTCAAGAGCAAAGAAGCTATAAAAGATAAAATGTCAAATGAATTTTAAGCATAAATTAAATTCGGAGAATAATTTATAATTTATGTATTATCTAAACTTCAACTAAGTATTATTGTTATTTTAAAAATCTGTGATTCTGAAGCTTCGCGTGTTATGGAGAATTTGCATTATTTCTCTTACGTTTTAAATGTCTTGCTGTACGAACTGTTATTTCTTTCAATAAAGTATCAATTTCCTCCTATGAACGATACCGCTGTAATGCTTCTCTAATAACGATACAAAAAATACGATTCATAGGTATACAATTTTCAGTCTGATGCGATATGGAACCCTCATAAAAAATTTTAAAAGAAAAATAAACTAATTCTCTCTCATTATATCAGTAACAATGGCACGCAGTTTTTAATGATTTTCGTCTTTCTAATCAAATGGTCGTAAAGGCTGAAGTTCCATCCGATATTTCACCTATATTCAATTTTAGTCGATTAAATGTGCCAAAAAAATTGACCATAATTGATCGGAAATCAATAACGCAAACAAACAAACACACGTTCTTCTTTTTATACATAGATTCCATAAAACTTGAAAATTTTTTATTTTATCCAACGCGCAAGACTGTTGCCACTCGGGAAAATGAGTGCGAAAATTAGTGTTTTCCGAGTTTTTAATTAATATTTCGGATTAAAAGTCACACGAAGATGGGAACAGTCGAAATGGCTTCCCGCGAATTTTTGGAATCGGGAATAAAATCGGGAACGAATTTTTGGATATTTTTATTTCATTGTGAAACTTTTTATTAACAAACTCTACGATTTGAAAGCGAGCTGTGGCAACATTTCTCGAAATAAAGCATATTTTTATCTCCAGCGTGCGAGACTTTTGCCACTCGGAAAAATGAGGGCAAAAATTGAGAGTTTTCAGAGTTTTTAATTAATATCTCTGAGTTTAGCAATTTTTTTTAGTCCAAAGGGATTTGAATTCCGAAGGACTATTAGTTTTGTTTTGGCATTTTGCGTCGGACGGATAAATGTCGGTTCACTTTTCAAACTGTTGCCATAAAATGTTAGAGTCCTGCATTATATTTGAAGAAATTAAATAATGAAAAATCTGCGTAAATGTATGTATATTTCTCGTATTGTGATAAAACAACGGTACATAGAGTCATCGAATTTTGAATAACGTAATCCTCCAACGAATATGAGCATGTGGAAGACCAAATTTGAAATTTGTTTTATGATCGATTTCCTATTTTTAAAACTTGACAAATTTTTGATTTACAAACTCAAGGATTTCAAAGCGAGCAATGGCCAACGTTGTGCAGAAAAAAACATTTTATCTCCAGCGCGTGAGTCTCTGTATCGGAAATTCTAAAGATAGGCTCGTTTTAAAACTATTTTGCGATATATGCTGTTGCACTGGATCTTATGGTTTTAAGTGCGAGGAACATGATATTTAATAAGGAAAGGTAAACACAAAATGTTAAAAAACGCCCCTTTGGACGTAATTTTAAAATCTGAAACATTTCAGTTTTTTTTTTTTTTTTTTTTTTTTTTTTTTTTTTAAAGTTGATGACGATAGCTTATAATAGTGACTGAGTTAATCGCGAACAAACACACAGACATTCTTCTTTATTCTTCTTTATAGATATATATATGTATAGATTACTTTTACAACTTATTTCGTATGTTTTATTAAATTGAGCTATGTATTGTCGTCTAAAATCTGGCGTGGCTTAAAGCAGATTAAACAGCTTTTTTCCCCATTAAATCTCGAGAAGAAGGTTTATATTTTATCTCAAGCTGTATACGCCTGCTTCAAAGTAGCTCCTTCGGTATCTTTATTTGTTTTTCACGAGCAGAATTTCTAGAACTATAGCTTGTCATCTTATCCAGATATTTTACGATGTCTGATAAACTGTTTGACAAAATACCGAATTTGGATGCGATATCCTCCTTCTTCAAATTTTTATCTTTTTCTTTCGAGTATCAGTATTTTTCCTTTAACCGTTAAACACTTTCATTTCGAAGTTTTTACCTATTATCAATAACAAACGAACACTGATAAGCTCAACGAACATTGATCGTTTGTTGACATTGATAAGTGTAGTCAGTATCGACACAGGGTTTACCTATGCCCTGAAATCCACTATTAACTCAAAATTCGGTTAAACGAAAGACAGTTTTAAAAATCCACTAAAGTGGAATAATCCATATGAAAATTAACAGAAAAAATTAGTCTCTATTTTTAACAAGTTTCATCAGGAGAATAAATTCTTTTGACTACGTAAATTGAATTTGATATTTCTCATACATAGTTTCGTTTTACTAATTATATAGTTAAATGCGTTACATGCAATAGTAATTTTTCCATCTTTTCGCAGCAGACAAATTCTTTTTACTTCCTTGTACAAAGTAAAAGTATAGTAATCGCGAATATTTTCGGACGTCATATTTCAACGGAAATTCACATCTTGACCCATCTCGAATCCATTTAGACGATTTTTTTGTGTGACATCTGTACGTAAGGGCAAAATAAAGGTCGATTTTTTTCCGAAACGAACTGTAAAATTGATTTAAAACGGGCTCAGAAGGCATTTTTTTCGTGATGCTTGTATCTCGCATAATTCAAAAACGCTGGCTGGCTGAGCTCTGGGTATTTATTCTTATATGTTGGAAAATTGTGCAGTTTTTGCTTTAAAGGTGATGATTGAAATATATTGTTCTTATGTTCCGGTTAAGGTTTTTATGCTTTAAGTTAACCTGCATACAATAGTTGTAGAATTATCAACAATTTAAAAGTTGCTTAGGTTCCGCTAAGCCTAACGAGGCCGCCCTTTGTTTACATTTGAAAATTTTAGTGGAACAGTGAATTAAGTTATTTGGTGCACCAAAACTTTTATCCATTTGCCCGTTGGACGAATTGCTTGTTTTTGCGCAGGAATTGTAGTTTTAATTGCAAAATTCTTTTTAACTGTATTTGGTATTTTAGGTTTCTTTGTAGTTTATAGTTTTTAATGAAGATCTTTATTTGAGTTTTTATGCATTTTTGCCTTGTCGCGAAGTGAGAACTGAACTAATTGAATGAGAAACATATCTGTAATGAAATTCGAGGAGATGAGTTTAAATGAAATGCAGCAAAAAATGTGTATAATTTAATTAGGCCGTATAAGGAAGTCATGCGGCTTCTTTTTTTAAAAAGAGAAGACTGGGGCAATCAGCGCGTTCACTACAGCACAAAAAGTTTCAAGAGTACGCGAATAAAATATGAATTAGCTTTTTAGATAATTTAATGCAACATTGTTATCCAAAGTTTTTGCTTCTCTTTAATGAATAAGCTAAGTTTAAAAGTACAAGTTGCGCCATTTCTCTTATTGCTTAACCATTGTAACGTAAATAAAAGTTTTTGAATGCGAATGCAGTTGTAGAATACCGTTAATAAGAACAGGGAAATTGTTAAAAATAGAGCTAAAAGATATTTAACGAAGAAATCTGTGTACAATGCACATGCATATAGTCGTGATTTCTGCAGTAATGTAGTGTTTAGTTTTTTTTTTTTTTTTTTTTTTTTTTTTTCAGTGGCTGTGTTTCGCAATTACCAATAAGCCGATTGTCACCTGTTGTTGATTATCACTTTAAAACTTCAAACGATTTTGTGAACCTCGAATAGGGGAAAAGATTATATATATATATACATATAAAGACATAAAGTAAGAAATTTAGAATCAATTTAGACCAAAAATTGAAATTCATAAGTAATATATTTCAAATAATCCTATAAATGCAATAAAGAATTTAATAAATGTTAAAACCAAAACTTTTCAAACAAGCAATACCCCAATTAAAAAAATCAATGAAGTTTAAAGAAAAAAGAACATAATAGAAGAGCAATTCAATCAACTTCATTGCCACTTCGTCAGGAGGAGGAACACTGAAATCAATTGAAATCCCTGCTTCTACAAAAATGCTTGCTTTTCTGTGTCCAGAATTAGCCGAAGAACCATTTCAATCAAACTAGATATAGACTCTAAACTACTTCCAAGGACCGAGGACTTTTTATGGTAAAAACTATTGTTCTTGAATTATATGCATAATTTTTTGCTCGTTATATATATATATATATACAGGGTGGTCATAAAAAAAACTGCCCTGAAATGTGAATCCCGCAGTGGGCTATTCGCTCAACCAATCAAAATAAGGCCCACCAGCGGCCGAGCGGTTAAAGTCGCTGAACACTGGTAGTTCGGTTCGAGGTTCGAATCCCGCGAACGGGCTGGCTGCATGGGTGTTTTCGTGGTTTTCCCCATGTGTAACGTGTATACGAGCCAGTTTCCCTTAGAAAGTCCTCCACGAAGGCATCCCTCCTCCCCTTAGGCAGATAGCCCTAGTGTGCTTTGCCATAATTAAATACACACACACACACAACCAATCAAAATATAATACCGTTAATATTGTTATTTGAAGGTATGCGCTCGAGGTTGTGATGACTTAAAAGAACAGAGCTCTTACAGTGAAAAAAGTTCGAATTTTTCGAGTGGCAACAGCCACTTTTTTCCTGGGCGAATTGATCAGTGTATTGAAAAACCATAAAAAGGATTTGAACTACAAATGTATGACGAACATTGCTTGTAAAACATTTGCAAAGAAGATTATAACGTTGCGCGCCTCCAACTTGCACGCAACCAAGAGGTGACTGTGAAAACTTGTATAAAAGATAGAAGCTTGTGAAGGGTTTAAGTCCCTTTTTATTCAACGTAATAAATTACAATTGCGTTCTCTTGACGCTTACAGACGGTGCCAACTTGGCAGTCAAATAAAAAATAATAACCTGAAAAGAAAATAAAGACAAGATTCTAACTACGAGGCCTCTCTAAAATAACTAACTCACCGCGTTTTACAATACCGCTGCTAATTCAGCAGACTTGAAGCTCACTGGAACCGATTGACCACTACTTCCGCCAAGCA